TGCACTTGACTCTAGATTATCATTTTGTGAGAGAAAGTCTGTGATGGTTCTTTACGGGTTTCACATGTTTCTTCTAGTAATCAGCTAGCAGATATTCTTACGAAACCACTGAGTCAAGGTCTTTTTCACAACTTACGTTCCAAGATTGGTCTCACCTTAAGGTCGTCCATCTTGCGGGGAACATAATAGAATAATAATATATTAAATTTACATATGTATACATTAGTTACGTAGATTTAACCGACCTGTTGTCGTCATCCTCATTCGAAACTATCGAATGACGTACAACATCAGCTAAGCCAAATCCGACATCTTTAGCTTGCTTCCATGGCTCAATCAATTGAGTTTGGGACTCCATCCATCACCAATAATGTCACCACCAAATTAGTTGATGTTGTAGACTACTTTACTTGGCGTATGCAGTTTGAGTCCCTTTTGGTCTCTCATGGTCTTTTGGGCATCATAGATGGTACACTTCCGGCTCCTTCTCTATGTGTTTAAGATGTTTACCATACTCAAACCATGAATTTTGAATATTATCATTGACTAAAATTGGATCAAATTGCTCGTTCCGGGATTTTTGTTACCCTTTCCCAGAATATTTCACTTGAGCTTCACGCTTTAACAAATTCTGTTGTTATATGGGAACGATTGAAGTCCCGTTTTATGTTTGCTTTCCTGATTAGATCTATGTAATTAAAACATATGGTGTCTCACATTAAAAAGAAGGATGGAGATTATTTGCTTGAGATCCAGATCTTTCTTGATGCTCTTGCACCCATAAATTCTCCAATCTCACCTATCTAGTTTTCCTCTCATGTCAATATTTATCTAAGTAAATTTATTATAAATTTCAAATTCAATGAATGTATATATAAAATACACTTTTAGATGTCATAAGAATTCATAATAATAATAATAATAATAATTTTCAATCATATACAGTTGTTTTGCTTATCATTGTTCCGTATTGACTAGACTTAAACAGACAAGACCACGCCATACCAGACCAGATTTAAATAGATCAGATCAGGTCAGGCCAGACCAGACTTGCATAGTTATAAAATACATAGAGATCAGACATTTACCAAACCAAACCAGTTCGGATCAAACCAGATCAGAATTGAACAGACCAGACTAGATCGATCATTGCTTCCCTAAATAAGTAATTTTTGACGGAAAAATAATCAATTTAAAACTAGATTTGGTACCTATTGAATTGACAAGAATTGGTGAAGTTATAACTCAAATAGTTGAATTGACTAAATGCACTGATAATTGAAAAAATTATCTTTAGATATATTGTATTTTAGCTCGCTGGATTTTGGTCAATTCCATAGTTACTTTATCAAAATTGTCCACTGAAGTAAATCAATCAAAAAAAGTAACGTACCATCAGGGACGGATCCAGCATTTTGAGTCAAGGGGCGAAAATTTTCGTTAGTGTAGGAGATAAAAAAATTCACTAGTGTAGTGGAGCGATTTTTTTTGCTATTGTAGCGGGACGAAATTTTTCACTAGTGTAAAGTTGTGCGGCTATTTTAATTCAAAAAAATAATTCATGTATGACGACATTTAAATATATATATTACATTCTAATTTTAGCAAATCAAAGGAAAATGATATAAAAATAAAAAAGGATATATAATATTTTATTTAAATATAAAGCGTTTATAAGGTACACATTCACCAATACTTTTAAAATAACTTCAACATTGTTTAACTACACGAGTCTTATAGAAATAAAGAATTGATTTTTGAATTACAATTTTTGTCTACCATGCAGGATGTATGATATTATTATTTTCAGAATAATATTATATTGCTAATTCATATATATATATATATATATATATATATATATATATATATATATATATATATATATATATATATATATATATATATATATTTCATATTATATTTGTATCAATGCTAAAATAATTACATTTAAAATTATATATAATATGAAATATATATATATATATATATATATATATATATATATATATATATATATTTCATATTATATTTGTATCAATGCTAAAATAATTAAAGTTTATTATCAATGGAATAACGCCTTTTTAGAACGTAAGAAGTAGATAAATTGTGTAATTTAATGTCAATAAACATTTATAATTTGGATTCACTTAACATGATCTAAAAACTTTGTAGCTATAGTGTCTGGTATTTAATATCGTTTGATATATATTTACAAATTGTTTACTAGTTATCTAATAAAGATAATTAACGAAACTAATAATTTTTATATAATAAGTCCTAAATCTTAAACAATGAGTTATTCTATTGTTTATTTAAGTTATGTAAATGATTTTAGATGTTCCTTCTTTTAAATCTTCAATTAAGTATTACATTATGTAATACTATATATTAATTTTAAAAACTAAAAGTTAAGGGAGACAATGTTCAAAAGAAGTTAAGGGAGACGAATCTAATTAAAGTATCAAAATTTTACAAAAACATTACATATATAGTAGATAAATTTGAAAGTTTAGGGGGTGCGGTCGCACCGCGCGCCCCCCTTAAATCCATCGCTGATAACATCACATACTTTGCTCATTAAATAACTCAGCGAGCTAAATTTAACGTTTAAGTTAGCACAAAATTGGTTGATATGTCACTGAAATCTATTACTAAACGTGCCCATTAAGAAAATTATCAGTCTACATAACATAAATACATAGAGATACCAAACAAATTTATTTATAAATACAACTATAAATTAATTATTTGAAGATAGGTCCATCTATTATTCTTAATAATTAGGCCAAATTGCATGTTTGGTCCACAAATTATTGCTCTCACATCTCATTTGGGATATTAAACATAAACATCAGACCAATGGGTTGGAGATCATATATAAATAAATTTAATCTTAATTCATACTTAATAATACCCCTCCTTAGCTTATTGAAAGCATTATCAAAACCGATCGAAGAGCAAACAAAAAATACAACACAACAATTTTAAGTGAACCTTTTTTTTTTCTTTAACTTTTTCTTTAATTTTAAGTGAACCTTTTAATTATGAAATCAGACCAAAGACACGTACTAATACTCCATATATCTCAACTCATATTTGGCAACTGATATCCCGTTTGACGATCCATAATTTTCAGATTTTTAGTCTTCTCAAAATAAGTACGGTAAGATTTTATTTATTTTTCTTTCTGAATTGACTGGAATTGTTGTTACGGATCATTTTAACTATTTTTCATATACTTCGCAGTTCGTACTATTTTATTAAAATAATTAATAAGATACGGAGTATATTTTAAATATAATTTTGTCATGATTCAGTGTATTCAATCAATTCAATCAATTCAATCAGAATTTCATCAATTTAAATAGATTTAGCTGATTCAATCAATGTTCAGTAGTACCAAATAAGCATGAAATAGTTATGCCTCTCAAAAGAAAAATATTATGCCTATCACTTATTTGGATGATCAGATTAAATTTATAGTTATTGTGCTAAGTAGGACTAAAGTTTGCCTAAAAAGCATTGAATTTCTACACTAAATTATCCAAATAGGACTAAACATTGAATTTCTACACTAAATACCCCTAAGAGTATTAATTCATAATGAAATGTTTTAATTCATAATAAAATCGTAAAAAATATTTAAAAATCGTAAAAAATAATAAAATAATAATAATAAAGTATTTATAAAATAACAATTCTAAACAATAATTTTTTAGATTTTTTATTTTTATAAAAAATAATCAAAAATAGTAAAAATCCATAAAACTAGAAAAATATGGACACCATTCTCACTGCCTCCCAGCAGTAGCACCTGAAATAGGTGAGAATTCTGCCACTTTTTGAAAAAAAATGCCATTTTTTTAAAAATACCATGAAAATAGCATTATTACTCAGCATATATAGTAATAATGCTATGAAAGTTCTGCCACTTTATGTAAAAAAATGCCATTTTTTCTGAAAATGCAATGAAAAGTCCTATTTACAGGTTTGGATAATTTGTATCGATTTCTTCGGTAGGGATTATTAGAGTAGAACCGCTAAAAGTTTAGATTATTTTGATTATTGTAATAATCAAAATAAGTAAAACTAAAAAGTACTTTTTCGCGGAATTAATAACTTTACTTAAAAGGTGTAGTGGGTTGTGGGTAAATGAAAAATCATTCCTACTTTTTTCATACTCCCTCCGTTCTTAAATATGAGTCCTCTTAGGCTTTGGCACGGGTTTTAAAAGGAAAATAATAGGGGTAGTGTAAAAGGTGTAGTGAGTTGTGGGTAAATGAAAAAGTAGAAAAGAGAAAGTGGTAATGGTAATAAAAGTGGAGGTATAAAGGTATTTTGATTGAAAAAACTTACAAAAAATGGAAAGATGGACAAATAATTAAAAACGTCCCAAAAATGAATGCGTGACAGTTAATAAAGAACAGAGGGATTATAATGTTTTATTTATTTTATTAATAAAATATATTCTACATATTATTTTATAATACATATATATTCAACAATTTTCAGCACCAATTATATTGTAACAAATTCACTACATCCAACAAGTATTACTGTCGAATGCGTCATACAAACAGGACATCGATGAAGTCGTACTTATGTGAATATGTGACATGCTTTTGATTGAGCGATAATGATCAGATACTTAGTTTCTTTTGTCACGTAATGAACAAATATCACCTACATATGGCTATACTGCGTATTTTTAATATTTCCCAACATTATTTTAAACTTTATTATCCAGGGAAGATTTGAGATACATGCACAAAGGAACAATAATGTATAAGTGGCTGCCGGTCCAAATATGCCTGCCTAGATGGTTTCTAAACCCTCTTGGTGATGTATAGCTATAACGACCATCTCCATCGCTGGAACGACAAGAAACCTTAATCACAACAGTCATGTATGTGGGGCATATTGGTCATTGTCACATATCTTATCCCATAATATAATCTTTCCCTCCCTTAGCTTTCGAACTCTACTCAAATTATCTTCTTCCCCACCCCACGCCCTCCGATTGAATAAGCTTACACCAGTTGTCCCCTCTAATAGAATATTAATTAGGAAGATTTGTTTCCTTGTATGTTTAGAATTCTACTACTATAAATATACATGTCAGGACTCCTATTGGAGTAACCTTTTCTATTATTTCACATGGTATCAGTAGCCCAAAGAAAACCCTAATTTTCTTTTCGATCTAAGTCGCCGCCATGACCTCCGAATTCTCCACCACGGCGCCGCCGACTTCTCCAAAAACACCGCCGCCACCGCCGTTCTCCATGACAGACATCGGCACCTCGGCATCGGACTTCTCCTCCCCCGCTCACCATGCCGTCTCCCAGCCGCAACCCCAGGCGGCGATCTCACGTCCGGTTGGCAGCTTCACCATGCCACCGCCGACGACCGAATATATGGCCGCATATCCGTTCCCACCGTATACTGCGCCACTGCCATACTCCCTCTTCAACCCCTTGCCGCCGCAATTCCCATGGCAGCCGAGTCGCCCTCTTCTGCCACCGGTCAGCCCACGCCCCACGCCACCACCAGCTTCTCCCTATTTTGGCCCTTCGTTCGCTGGTTTTCCAGGAGTTGTCCGACCCCAGAATGACAACCCTCTCTTCGGCACTCCAATGGCAGCCTTGGTGCAGGCTGTTTCTCATGGAATTGCAAACGTCCACTACAAAAAAACACGCCGTTTGTCACGGATTTTTGTCACGGATTCCGGCCGTGACAAATTTGTCACGGGCTTTGTCACGGAATTCTGGGATTTGTCACGAAAATTATTTGTCACGGATTTATCCGTGACAAAACCCGTGACAATATTTTGTCACGGATTTGGTCCGTGACAAATTTACTCCGGCGACCGGTTTTTTACTCCGGTGAATACTTTTTTGCTTCCGGGCATTTGTCACGGACAGATCCGTGACAAATCCGTGACAAATTTCAAAAAAATTCAATTATTGATTTTCCAGCGGTAACCTTTAATAATACGGTATGGGAAAAGATTTGTCACGGATAAATCCGTGACAAATCCGTGACAAATTTCAAAAAAACTCAATTATTGATTTTCCAGCGGTAACCTTTAATAATGCGGTACATAAAAAGATTTGTCACGGATAAATCCGTGACAAATCCGTGACAAATTTTTTTATATAACCCAACTCCATCGTCCATTACAATTGCAAGAACAACAATCAGTTCAAAAATTCGTAGATTCGAGTGATGTAGTATCGGTTTAAAGATTGAATGATGTAATCCGTCAGTTCATCATTTTCCGAGTTTATGCTGATAAGGTATGTCATTTTAATTAATTTCTTTTAATTGTGTGATAAATTAATTATTAGCTTAATTAATTAATTATTATTAGTGAGGTTAGGATTCTTTTTTCTTTATATAATAATAATTAATTATTAGCTTAATAATTAATTAGTGAGGTTAGTTATTGTTCATTTATTTAAACTATTAACGTAATTTAGTGAGGTCATGTTAATTTTCATATTATTATCAATATATTATTAAACTATTAACGTAATTTAATTAGTTAAATTTAAATATAAATATTAATTAGGTAAATTATTGTTATTATTAATGCATAATAATTTAGGATGTGTAGTGATGATTTAAGTATTAGCTAGCTTATTATAGATTAATTAATTAGTGGCTTGTAGTGATTTAATTAATTAGTTAGCTAGCTTAATTATTAAGTTATTAATTATCACCAATTATTATTTATTACCAATTATTGTTAATGGGATGCATAATTAATATAGCTAGCTAGGATTGAAACTTTATTATTATTTAGTTTAGTGTGAATTATTATTGTGAATTATTAATGAGATAATATTTAACAATAATATTAGTTAAATGTAAATTAATTAACTAATTAATTAAGTTAAAACATTGAGTAAATGGGTTTAGAATTTGATGAGTTGATAATATTAGTTAGATTTAAATATTAGTTAATTGATCAATGATGATAATGCATGATTAGGTTTAATTTGTTTATTAATTAGTTAATTATTGTTAATGTATAATTTAGGATTTGTAGTGATTTAAGTTAGGATTCAAACTTTATTAGTTAAGTGTGAATTATATATTATTGTGAATTAATTATATTTAACAATATTAGTTAAATGGAAATTAACTAATTAATAAGTTAAATTAGTTAATTATTGTTAATGGGATGCATAATATATATAGCTAGGGTTGAAACTTTATTTTTATTTAGTTTAGTGTGAATTATTATTGTGAATTATTTTTGTGAATTCACAATAATAATTCACAATATTAGTTAAATGGAAATTAACTAATTAATTAAGTTAAAACATTGAGGAAATGGGTTTAGAATTTGATGAGTTGATAATATTAGTTAGATTTAAATATTAGTCAATTGATCAATGATGATGATTAGGTTTAATTTGTTTATTAATTAGTTAATTATTGTTAATGCATAATTTAGGATTTGTAGTGATTTAAGTTAGGATTCAAACTTTATTAGTTAAGTGTGAATTATATATTATTGTGAATTAATGATATTTAACAATATTAGTTAAATGGAAATTAACTAATTAATAAGTTAAATTAGTTAATTATAGTTAATGGGATGCATAATATATATAGCTAGGCCGGATTGAAACTTTATTTTTATTTAGTTTAGTGTGATTTATTATTGTGAATTATTATTGTGAATTATTATTGTGATTTATTAATGAGATAATATTTAACAATAATATTAGTTAAATGTAAATTAATTAACTAATTAATTAAGTTAAAACATTGAGGAATTTGAGTTGATAATATTAGTTAGATTTAAATATTAGTTAATTAATTGATCAATGATGATGATTAGGTTTAATTTGTTTATTAGTTAATTATTGTTAATGCATAATTTAGGATTTGTAGTGATTTCAGTTAGGATTCAAACTTTAGTAGTTAATAATTAAAACGATTAATGCCATTAACATATTACTATTAGTTAAATATTAGTAAATCAACGCTTTTAGTTAATGTCACAAATTAAAGTTGGTTAATTCAAATTATTAATGCCACAAATTAAATAATGTACTGCTTTTAGTTAATTAATAATATTAATGTACTTATATATTATTTTGATTATAATATATATACAGGCATAATGTATAGACAAAACAGAAGTTGGATGTACCAAAAACATCGTGATAACTATGGAATACGCAGTGAATTTTTGAATGGTGTTGAAGATTTTATTAAATTTGCACAAGAACAGAAGAATTATATGGATGGAGATAAAATCAGATGTCCATGTACAAAGTGTAAAAATCTTCAATTTAAAGATGTCGACCAAGTTGTGTGGGATTTGTACGAAAAAGGTTTCGTTGCCAATTATTATAATTGGACTTCTCATGGTGAACCTTTCGATCCATCACTTTTACCGCAAACAGTGGGTTCATCTCGTAATGTCCCTACCGAGATGAGTGGATGGGGAGACTATGATCAAATGACGTGGGATCAAAGAATGGCATATGATGTATACGGTGCTTCAACGATGCAGTTTAACCCACCACAGCCATTTAACGATCTTCCCGAAGCTTCGACCTCGTATCAACCCGATGCGGATGAAGATCAGACCTTTTATCAGTCTGTTGCGGATGAGTATCCGAATTCTCATGTTCCTCATATTGAAGACTTAGCTGAAAGATTTCAAGATGTTTTAAAAGCTGCTGATCAGCCTCTGTATGCTGATTGTGAGGGATACTCTCAGCTATCCGCCGTTACAGAGTTGATGAACATTAAATCTGAATACAATCTTCCTGAATCTTGCATGTCTAGGTTATTGCAGTCATTTGGAGGAATGTTACCGCGTGACCATAATCTTCCTGATTCTTATTACAAAATGAAACAATTAATGTCTCAGTTAGGGCCTCCTTGTATAGAAATTGATGCGTGCCCAGAAGGATGTATGTTGTTCTGGAAGGATGATGTGGCACTTGAGACCTGCAAGTTCTGTGGTGGAGAGAGATACAAGCCTGTTCCTCATAGACGAAAAAAACCACGAAAAAGGTCTGCATTGTCTAAATTGTTTTACCTCCCTCTAGCTCCACGCCTGCAGAGGATGTATGCTTCAAATGCTACTGCGAAACACATGACGTGGCATGTTGAGCACGAAACAAAAGAGGGTTTGATGTCTCACCCTTCCGACTGTGAAGCTTGGAGACACTTTGACCGTTGTCATCCTCAGTTTGCAATGGAGCCACGGAATGTGCGACTGGGATTGTGTTCAGACGGATTTGCTGCTTTTGGAAAGTTTGGGAAGAAATTTTCATGTTGGCCAGTCATGTTAACTCCTTATAATCTTCCTCCCGACATGTGCATGAAAAGTCATTTCATCTTTTTAACTTTAATTTGTCCAGGTCCCTCGGATCCTAAAAAAAGGATAGACATCTATCTCCAACCCCTGATCGAGGAGATGAAAGAACTTTGGGCCATTGGGACACCAACTTATGATGTTTCGAGAGATCAGATGTTTATCATGAAAGCTGTCATCATTTGGACCATTAGCGACTTCCCTGCTTATGGTATGCTTTCAGGATGGAGCACACACGGTCTTATGGGATGTCCGATATGTATGGATCAATCAGAGGCCAATTGGCTCAAATTTAGCGGGAAACCAAGTTACTTTGATTGTCACCGCAAGTTTCTGCCTATGAACCATCGATATCGAAAGGACAAGAAGTCTTTTATTGCCGGAAGAGTGGTACGAGATCCCCCTCCTCCGAGACTTACAGGTGAACAAGTTTTTAACCGGGTTCGACGTTTTCCTACGGCCGTGCAGCAACCCCACGGGGAGCCAAATGGGTATTGTGATACCCATAAGTGGACAAAGAGGAGTATATTTTGGGAGTTGCCGTATTGGAAGGACCTTCTCATTCGTAACAATTTAGATGTCATGCACGTTGAGAAGAACGTCTTTGACAATATATTTAACACGGTTATGGATTTTACCCACAAAACCAAAGATGGTCTTGCATCTAGAAAAGACATGACAATTTGGTGCGACAGACCCGAACTCGCCGTCGATCTAGAATACGTGGGTAAAAAAATTCCAAGAGCAGTCTACCAACTCACAGCCCCACAAAGGGAATCAATATTAGAGTGGCTTGTTTCTCTGAACTTTCCAGATGGCTATTGTTCTAACTTGTCAAGATGCGTGGACCTGGACAAACAAACAATGACGTCGAGCATGAAAACTCATGATGCTCATGTAATCATGCAACGACTTCTGCCGATTGCACTGAAAGAGATGCTTCCTGCAGACGTCTGGGGCTGTATTACCGAAATCAGTCAATTGTTTCAGTCGATATGTTCCGCCGTTTTGGATGCCGAATCCCTGAGGAGACTAGAAGACACTGTTCCTATTCTGATGTGTAATCTGGAAAAGATACTGCCCCCATCATTTTTTGATGTAATGGAACATCTTCTAATACATCTTCTATCGTTGGATGTACATATTTGAAAGGTTAGTCATAATTTCATTTATAAACGATGATTTGTTTAATAAGAACATTTGTTTGTTTACAAATTTTATTTTGCATGACAGATTTCTGGGAGATTTGAAAAAGAAAGCGACCAACAAGGCACACATTGAGGCTTCAATTTGTCAAGCATATATTCAACAAGAAACCTCAACGTTTTCATCTTTTTATTTTGAGCGTGAAGTAATCAGTAAAAGAAAGAGACCTGCTCGGAACGATGACATTGGCGAGGATTCATATGATAAAGTAGTTTCTATTTTCAACTACCCAGGTAGAGGTAAAGGAGCTGCGACTTACCGTTACATCGTGGGCGGAGAAATGAAAATTGCACATACTTACATCCTCATGAATTGTCCAGAAATCTTACCATTTTATAAGTAAGTTGAATTGGTAGTTACATTTGTAATATAGCTAATATTTTTTTAATAATTAGAGTGTTATAATAATATCTTTATGTTCAATTCACAGTGAATTTAGAGCGTCTTTATCAGCATTTCCTGATGATGCAATTGATGCAATGGTGGACTCTGACTTTGCATTATGGTACCAACAGCAGGTATTATATATATATAAATACATTATATATACTATTAGCTAGTAATTTTTAATCATTACCTAATGTTATCATGTTTTAATTTGCAGATCAGGTACCGTGGGATTAACGACCCTCTGTTAGTATCATTATCGTGGGGCCCTTCTTCCTATGCAAAGGTTTGGCATTCATATGTGACAAACGGTTATACGTATCACACAGTTGAATATGGAGAAGGTCGACCAACAATGAACAGCGGGTTATGTGTCCCGACCATCGGTTCTGATAACTCGGAAACCAATTTTTTTGGTTTCTTGCATGAGATTCTCGAACTTCAAATGCCTTCTGGTTTGCAAGAATTAACATGCGTGTTGTTTCGCTGCACATGGGTCGACCCTACACGTGGTGTGAGAAAAAATTCAAAATATAATATAATTGACGTCAACAACTCTCGTGTGTATCAGAAAAATGAGCCATTTATACTCGCTCAACAAGCAGCCCAGGTTTATTATGCAGAGTATCCTTCAACGAGGCGCACACGGAATCCTTGGGTGTGTGCCATTAATATCTGTCCGAGCAAAATTGTAACACATGCTCAACAAAGGGATATTGACTTTGATGCTTTTCAGCAAGATTTTTTCCACCCTCCGCCTATTGCTGATACGGTCAACCATAACATTCAGTTAAGTGACCCAAATGGCGGAGATGTTGATGTTATGCCTGAAACACACCTTCCGCCCCCTATACCTCAAAATGAGCGCGAAATTGAAGAATTATATATACAACAACTGCACGATGACCAGGAGGAAGAAGAAGAATGGATATCTGGTGATGAAGATACAGAAGAAGAAGTTGCCTATCAAGAAAATACTGATTCTGATAGCGATTAAATGTATAGTTAACAACAAAAGTAATTACTTTTAATTGAACTATTTTAATTTGAATTTTTAACTTTCTTTCGTCATTATTATATTATTCCAAGATATAATAGTTAGGTATGTAATTCGCAACTATCATTTCTAAACAAAATAATTATTCCATATTATATTGTAAAATAGCGATTAATTAATTAATAAAATTAAGTTTTTAAAATTATTCAATTGAAAATTAGTGGTTCATTATTATCGATTCGTAAATCTAAAATTAATTAGGTAATTTCGAAAATCGAAAATTAAATAATTCGAAATTTAACATTATTTAAAATTCGGAAATTAGTTTTTTAACATTATTTGTTATTAGTTTTTTAACATTACAAAATTTTAATAATTCGAAATTTAATAAACAAGAACATGAATTTATTTATTAAATTTAAAAACTAAGTAGAAAACACACAATTTTTTATCATTTATTACATTCAACAACTCACAATACAGATAAACAAATAAACACAATATTATTCATTAGCGTCAAAACTTTCATCTAGAGGCCTATCAAGTAGCTCGTTAATTTTTTCTGCAGCTTCCGCGTTTATAGGTATCATATACTCCGAACATTGTTCTGCACGTAAAAGTGCCCTACGCAAGTTTTTCCCTCGTGAAACGTTGTATGAGTCCGATTCATAGTCTATAATATCGCCAAAGCTTTCAAGCGGTCTACTCATCAGCTCACGGATGCTTTGAACTGCTTCTGCATTTCGAGGCTTCATCAACTGTGTAACTTGTTTTAATCTTTGTACACTTCTACTGATCAATTTCCACACATCTGGTTCTGGATTAGCCATTTTTTCGCACCGAAAAAATGGGACTCTAAGCACATATTTATACTTAAATTTGTCACGGATAGGTCCGTGACAATTAAAGTAGCTGACGCCTCGTCTGATTAAGGCTGAAAAAGCTTTAATTCCCTGCACCGGTTTGTCACGGATTCATCCGTGACAAATCCGTGACAAAATTCAAATTTTTGAATTTTGTCACGGATTTGTCACGGATGAATCCGTGACAAACCGGTCAACCTGCCGTTCTGCCGCCTCGTCTGCCGTTCCCTGCCGCCTCGACTGCTGTTCCGCAGTTTACAAGTTCCGATAACTTTGTCACGGATTAATCCGTGACAAATTTCAAATTTAAAAATCTGTAATTAATTTCTCACGGGCTTTGTCACGGACGGGTCCGTGACAACCCCTAATATATAAACGACACTTAGCCATTTTTTTCTCTTACGCTTCCCAATTCCTTCAGCAACCCTAAACGCCTCCCACTACTCCCTTACGCCTTCCGACACCCGCCCACCGCCACCCTCCCAAACGCCTCCCACTCCGCCGCCCTGCTGCCTCTCTTACACCCGCCGACTGCCACCCTCCCAAACGCCTCCCACTCCGCCGCCCTTCTGCCTCTCTTACACCCGCCGACCGCCGCCGCACACATCTCACCGGCCACCGCGGATTATCTCCACCCCTGCCGCCGTTCTTCGAAGCCGGCCTTCTCTTCTTTCCCTTTCATTTCTTGCCTTCTTCTCCGAGGTTATGTTTCTAACTCTTTAATTTCCGAATATTTTAGAATAAATGTTTTAAAATGCCAAAAAGTAAATGCATGTTTTTCTTAATATTCTTTAATTGTTTAATTTAATGTGTATATGTTAATAAGTTATCATGCATTGAATATGTGTATATGTTTAATGTTTACATGTTTCCGAATATTTATATGCATGCTCGAAATTTTATGGCATGTTTTTAATTATTTAATGCATGTTTTTCTTAATATACATGCATGTTTCTATGTTTTTCATAATATTCATATGCATGCTCGTAAATTTATTTATTTAATGCATGTTTTTCTTAATATTGTTTTAATGTTTATATGTTTCCGAATATTCATATGCATGCTCGTAATTTTATTGCATTTTTTTAATTATAGTCGGATTACACGGATATAATGCATGTTTTCCGAATATTCATATCCGAATAGTCGTAATTTCCATATAAGGCATGTTTTTCTTAATATTCATGCATGTTTAAATGTTCTTCTTCATATTCATATGTGAGGTTAGATTTAACGTTTCATAATATGTGTATCATTTGTGTATATGCTTTAAATATGCCTTAGATATTGTTAATTTAAGAATGCCTGCTTTAGAATAGTTAATTATTAAATTTTCAGTCAAGGTTATTTTGAGTTTTTGTTAATTTCGTATATTTATTAAGAATAATAATTTCAACTCCATTAATTTTCGCCCCCTCATGTTACACTTTCAAAAAAGTTAACATGTCTAACCCAACAAAATAATGAAACTGTTAATTATTTTTTTTATAATATTTCGGATATTATATTATTTTTTTAATATTATAAAACACTTTAAAATTTTTTGGATCATTTAACTGATTTTTAAATAATTTCGGATATTATAATATTTTATTTTAAATAAAACGTTGTTTCATAAATAACATAAAACAGAAATGAAGTAAAAAAATGTATTTTATATATTAAATAGAAATAAAAAACCAAACAAACTGTTTTTGTTTATATAATACGAAAATGATTTCATATGTTTCATGAAAAATTGATTTTATGGGTTTCATGAATAAACAAAAAATGAAACTGATTTTTAAATTTTTTTTGAAAAAATTAATTTTATAGATTTTAAAAATCAGGTCACTGTTTTTTTATAAATTAATACCATACACAATTAAATTCCATAACATAAAAATCATACAAAAAACTCATTCTACCCCTCATATTAAACTCAAGTTTAATATGTTCTATACTTCAAAGATTGATAAACACGTAACACAATTAAATTCAATAACATAAAAATCATACAAAAAACTCATTCTACCCCTCATATTAAACTCAAGTTTAATATGTTCTATATTTCAAAGTTTGATGAATAAATAGGAAACTAATAAGTTTAAACCATGATACCACACAAAAACTTCATAAACTGATTTTAGAAAACTGTTTTTTATAAATAATACCAAATACAAGATGTAATAAATTGTATTTTTCTAAATTAATGCAAAAAACTGATTTTCGATGATTTATAATTTAATAGGGAAAAACTGATTTTATTAGTTTAAATTAAAAAGTTTGATCAATTGATTTTATATAAGGTTTCATAAAAAATATACACAACACAAGTTACCTCCATAACATAAAAATCATCCAAAAAACTTGTTCGACCCCTCATATTAAACTCAAGTTTAATATGTTATATTTATCAAAGTTTCATACCACACAAAAACACCATAAAATAATACCTAACATCATGAAATTCAATAACATAAAAATCATACAAAAAACACATTCTACCCCTCATATTAAACTCAAGTTTAATGTGTTCTCATATTAAACACCAGTTTAATATGTTCTATATATTATTTCTCAATAATTTTAGATGAGTGAGCACGAACGCCGCCTTTCCACCATTGCTCGTCGTGGGCAGAATTCACGACGGGCCTCAAATGCTGATCGTGATATCAATGATGATATCAATCCCGACGAAGGACAAGCTCTTGACGGACATGTCCAAACTCCTCCCTCCGAACAATCAGACGCTCATATAAGCGTGCATGGGGAGGGGGCATCATCTCATGCACCTCCTTCATCTCGTGCAATATATGCCCCCTCCCACTCAAGAAGAGCGCCACAATCCCGGTTCGCTTGAGGTGACACCTCAATCGATCCATAGGTAATAAAAAACTAACATTCTGTAATATAAAATAGTATAATCTCTTTATCTAAGAATTAATACAATTGTTTTTATCAATTATCAATTTTTTGAAGCGATTCCGAGGTCTTGAATAGAATCAAGGCTATTGTTTGTGGTCATTTCACCGGGCCGTGGTCGACTTATGGTGAGGTTCCGGCGGCCACTCGTGGACTATGGTGGCGGTTGTTCAAGGTAAAAATAAATATTTTTGTTACATTTTAGTAACTTAAATTTAAGAAATGATGATATATCAATGTTTTTCATGAAGGCTTCCCATCGTTGGCATTTTGCCCTAGACCAAGCGATTCTCAAAGAATACAATTCTAGGATTTCTGGGTGGTTGAGACCCACTTTTAGGACCGCCCGGTCTACGGGTAAAAAGCCAAAGTTCCTTGGCGATGATGTGTGGGAGATGCTTTGCCGCCACTGGGCTACGGATGCCTCATTTTTGCTGAGAAGCGAAGTGGGCAAGGCAAACCGGGCTTCCGATAAAGCCAAGGAAGTTCAATGGCACGGGGGCCACAAACCCCAAAGTCAACATAAAAAAGATCTGGTAAACTCTATTTAGTTAAAATTATTTCCATTCCATACCATTATGTATATATATTTTTTTATTAACTTTGAAATCCATGTAGGAAGGATCTGGACCCGTGCCAAAACGGGTCACGCCATTGAAACTCATGGCACATTGCTGGACTAAGAAGGGTGCCATGCCGCCTCCCCGCCTTTCTAAAATTGAAGTAAATAATGAAACATAATTCAATAAATTTCGATTTTTTTAGATCTCTTATATAATAAATTTTTGAACTTGTAGAAAAAATATGAGGAAGAGCGGGGTAAGAGAGTTGATGAGCTAGCTGATTCTGATGCCGAACTTGATGAAAATCAAGATGATGAAGCCATCTTGGCGGCAACCGGAGTTTACAAGGGCCGGGTGCCGTTTATGGGTTCTGAAGGCGTACGGATCCTCGAGAAGACCAAAAGAGCTAGCTCATCTTCTCATTCAGCATATGATGATCGGGTTACCCGCCTCGAGAAACTATTGGAGGAACGTGAAGCCGAGGCTCGAAGGCGGGATGAAGAAGCTCGGATACGGGATGAAGAGCAAAGAAGAACAAGAGAAAGGTTGGAAGAGATGGAACGTCAAATGCGTATTTTCAACGCCACCTACCGTCCATCCATGCACATACAGCACCCCGAGATGACCCCACAAGTTTCCTTCGCGGGCAATATGGGCAATATGGGCAGTAGGGGTAGTAGGGGTTTTGCTAATTATAGCCACATCTCCAACAACTTTCCATATGGATATTATGACGATATCCCGACTCCCGGAGCTCAAGCTTACCGTGGCAGCAGCCGTGCTGGCAGCCGCAGTGGCAGTCGAGGCGGTCATCGTGGTGGCAGCCGTGGCCACGGAAGGCAACCCGATCATCGTGACGAACCTGATGATGCTGATGCTGATGCTGATTATGATGACCATTGATGGTTTGTAATAATTAGTTTATTAACATTTTAAGGATTTTAAAATTTTGATGTGTTAATGTATGAATATTAATGTGTAATGGTTTGATTGTGTTTAAATAATAGTTTATTTGTGTTTTATAATGATGGTTTGATTAGATTATTATTTATTATGATACCTAATGTGTAATGGTGATTAATGATGATTGTTTAATTATTTATTATAAACAATTATTTATTATGATTATTGTTAAACTATTTATTATTAAGTTTAATTTTTTGAAAAAGCGCCTAAATTTTAATGGTTATTTTTATTAAATAAACTTTTATAAATGCGCTGAATTTACTATTAACGTATTTTTTTTTAAAAAAAAAATGTTTTGTCACGGATGGGATCCGTGACAAATTCAAAATTTTGAATTTTTTGAAAATTTTAAAGCTCCCGCTCACTCTATTTTAAAATTTTCAATTTTTTTTCAAAATATTTTGTCACGGATATGTCCGTGACAAAATTTAAAATTTGAATTTTCCGGACCGTTTCAAATACCCGTCCACTCTATTTTGAAAAACCTTTTTAAAATTTGTCACGGATAATTCCGTGACAAGTAATTATTATTTTTTGAAAAATAAAAACATTTATTCACGGATGCGTCCGTGACAAATGAAAGGCGATGGGATTCCGGTGAAGTGTTTTGTCACGGACCGTGGCCGTGACAAATCCGTGACAAACAATCTCACGGATTAATTTCCGTGACAAAAACGTTATCACGCCCCTGGTGTCACGGATGGGATCCGTGACAAATCCGTGACAAAAAATCATTTGTCACGGATTTTTTGAACTACCGTCCGTGACAAAATCCGTGACAAACGACGTGTTTTTTTGTAGTGGTCGGCCAGATTGTTACCATCAAACTCAAAGCAGTTGAAAATTATCTTACATGGCGCACTCGATTCAAATCATTCTTGGTGTCACAGGGTCTTTTTGGTATGTTAGATGGCTCTATTCCGGTACCTCCCTTATACACTCTGGATTTTAATAATCATCAAATCGTTAATACTGACTATTATCATTGGCTTCGAGTAGATCAAACAATTCGTTCCTGGTTGTTTGCTACTTTATCTCGTGAAGTATTAACTGATGTTCATGATATTAAACATTCAATGGGTATATGGGAGCGTTTACAGTCACGCTTTATGTCTGTTAGTTTACCTAGAGCTATGGAGCTTAAACGCTTATTATCTAATATCAAAAAGAAATCTAATCAATCCATGGACCACTACTTACGTGATATTAAAAGTCTGGCTGATGCTTTAGCAGCAATTAATTCCCCTGTGACTGGGAAAGAATTATTACAAAGCACACTACAGGGACTTGGCCCTGAATATCAGTTTGTTACGGGCACTATCTCACTGTTTCCTGATAGCTTTCCACCCGACATCCTTCACCCGCGCCTCATGGAGGCTGAGCAGACTGTTTTGCATCAACAACAAGACTATTCTTCCCCTCACCAAGCGTTTGCTGCTCCATTAGGCACTGGGCAGTCGGGTCCTTCTGCGCAACGCGGCCGCGGCAGTCGCGGCAGAGGTGGCAGAGGGCGTGGAGGTCGCGGCAGAGGCGGAAGACACGGGCCGCAGCAGTACTACGCACCACCAGCTTCTACGATGCATTCAAGCCAGTCCGGGCCGAGACCTGCCGGGGGTGCTCCTGTTCCAAGACCTCCTAATGATGCATCTGGTAAATCTGTTGTGTCCACTTTAAATATTAATGCTAATTATGCTTTTGGTACTCATGGTTCTTCTGCAGGTTTCCCATCTTCGGAGGGTATTCTCGGGTCTGTTCCATCCCCAGTTGTGTGTCAAATTTGTTTTTCTGCAGGTCACTCTGCGATGCATTGTCCGTCTCGTTTTTCACAAACTTCTGCACCTGCGTTGATTACTCCAAGTGGCGAATCCAATGATGTTTTGTGGTATCCGGACTCCGGTGCCTCTGCTCACATGACCTCTTCTGAAGGTATTCTGTCAAATAAATTCCCTTACTCAGGCTCCATGACTGTTAGTGTGGCAAATGGCACTAATTTACCTATTGCTAATATTGGAAATATTACTTTAAATACTTTCAGTCGCCCCTTGTCATTGAAAAATGTTTTTCATGTGCCTCAAATAAAATTTAATTTAATTTCTATTCAAAAATTATGCGCTGATAACAACTGTGTTGTTGTTTTTGATAAAAACTATTTTTTGTTAAGGACAGACTTTCGGGGGCAGTTCTTCTTCAGGCACGACATAATGGCCATATCTACCCTAGCAGTCTTACATCATCTACACTGTTAGCTCTTGCCACAGTCACTTCTCCTGGCCCTGTGTGGCATCGTAGACTAGAACATTGTGGTGAAACTATTTTGCGTTTATTGCATCGTAGAAAACTTATTTCTAGTTCTTCTAATTTTGAACATGATTGTGTTTCCTGTCGTTTGGGCAAATCTCAACGACTACCTTTTTCGGATGCTAGTCATACTTCTTCTTCCCCTTTACAGTTAATTCATTCTGATGTTTGGCAATCACCTGTGTTATCTAATTTAGGCTTTAAATATTATGTGTGTTTTATTGATGATTTTTCTCGATTTACTTGGATATATCCCTTGCGTAATAAAAGTGAAGTTTTTACTCAGTTTCGTCTATTTAAGGTTTTAGTTGAAAATATGTTTCATTCTAAAATTAAAATTTTTCAGAGTGATGGAGGGGTGAATTTGTTAATAATAATATGCAGCATTTTTTGACGAACATGGCATTTATTTTCAAAAATCGTGCCCACATACTCCCCAACAAAACGGTGTTGCAGAACGCAAACATCGTCATCTCTTGGAATTTGCTAGAACTATGCTCATTACTGCCTCTATTCCTAGCACATTTTGGGTTGATGCTATCTTTACAGCTGCATATCTTATTAATAGACTTCCTACTCCGTCACTTAATGGTGTTTCTCCCTACGATATTCTTTTTCAAAAACCTCCTGACTATAGTTTTTTAAGAGTTTTTGGGTGTGCTTGTTACCCCAATTTTTCTGCATCTCCTTCCAATAAACTTTCTCCGCGCTCCATACAATGTGTTTTTCTTGGCTATGCATCTGGTTTTAAAGGCTATCGTTGTTTTGAGCCTCACTCTGGTAAAGTTATTATTAGTAGACATGTTCGCTTCCATGAAAATATTTTCCCTTTTGCCACATTGTCTTCTTCTACGCATGCCTCTTCCTCGTCCTCCGTTCCTCTAGCTCCCGACTTCACTCTAACTCATCCCATCTCCAGACCAATGCCTCTTCCCTGCTCGAACAACAATACCGATCATCCTCCCTCACTTTCCCAGCCCTCTGTTCCAGCCATGCTCGAAAATCCCAGTCAGCCATCCTCTTCCCCTTCCCCTTCCCCAGCCGCACAATACCATTCTCCGACCTCACTGCCATCTCCTATACCCAGTAATGGATCTTCACCCTCTTCTTCTTCAACACCGCCTACCCCATCCCA